GCAGTGAGTGGTTTGGTGGAAGACTTGTAGGAAGATTCATAGTAACTGTGGTATTTGGAGGAGGCTTTGGGATAGTCAATCCAACCCGACGGATGGGTTCGATACTGAGATTTTGGATAGTCCTTCCATTGGTTCCAGGATTTCCACTTGTTGGTGGATGGCTGGTCAAAGGATTGGTAGTCATACTGGTAGTACTCATTGTGGGATGATGGATGTTGATGAGAGCGTTGTTGTTCCCACGATGCAGGGTGAAGTGTAGCTGGTTCATGGCTGGGTTCATCACGGTCTAGATCATCATTGTCTGGTAGTACTTCTCGTCGACGTGGAGAGGCTGAACGCAAGGTGACAGATGTAGCTCTACTTGGACGTCTTGATGGATCCCTCGAAGTGGAATGTCGTCTCTTGTGTGACGACCTTGGTCGAGAGGAACGATGTGTTCGTCTCGGTGATGTGGCTCGACGAGGACTTCGTGGAACAGAGACTGGACGCTTGTCCGGTGCCCCACGGTGCCGGTGGGAGCGAGAGCGAGAGCGACGGTGAGTGTGTTGCGGTGCAACTTCATCTGGTGGAGGAGGATGACTTGGAATAGGTGGAGAGGCTTGAATTGGTGGTTGAGCGGGAGCAGGAGGTTGGCTCATGCTGCGCTCTTGGTTCTTGTCCACAAACGCTTGCATGCTGGACTCAACCGTGTTTTTCATCTGTTGCATCATCTCTTCTGCATTGAAGGATACACTGGATCCCGGTGGTGTGGACTGATGTGCCACCGGTGTTGGTGGTTCAGGCACTGAGGTTGTGGGCTGAGGTGGATGTGGATTGAACGTGGATTGGTGGAATGGAAGAAGCTGTTGAAGGTGCTGGATATGTGACTGAGCCTGTGACGCAAGTTGTTGATTCAGGATGTTATTTTGCTCTCTGAGAGCCGCCAGTTGTGCCTGAGTCTGAGCTTGAGACTGGACCTGTGACTGTTGGTTCATTAGATCACCGCCACAAAATTGACCTTGAAGTCCCATCGCTTGTGGGTTCCAGAAGGTCCACATGTTGTCGGGAACGGCAGGATACCGTCCAGGAAACATGGCAGCACTGTCAGATTGGTGAACTGCAAAATTAGTTCAAAAAGAAAAGATGCATCCACAACGCATGCAAGATTCGTGATAAGGCTCAAAGGCCCTCGGTATTCAAGTCAACCCCATCGACGGCTGTCAGTGTTCAAATGAATTATATACGTGCACAATTGAACCTCACCAACGACCATAAAAGAAAGAAGTACCAAACCTGCAAGGATGTCCTGTTGCCTGTGAACTCATGTGAAAATGGCTGCGGAATGGCTGTCTCTTGAGAAAGGAAAGATTGTTGACGTGGCATCAGGCTACAAACCCTTGCATCTCTGGAAAATGGTGAAGCCACATGCAGCGGCCAGTTGTTCAAAACTCACTCGACCGACATGTGAGACGGAGAAAAGAAAGGCCAGCAGTTCACTTTACTTAGACGAATTACTAATTCAAAAGTGTAAATTCAGACATCGTTTTACCGTCAATTCTTAGCCTAGAAAGGCTTTCCCCGAAGGGCTCATACCACCTTGTCGGACAACGGTATGAGTGACACACTTGCTCAGAAACATCTTATCGAATTACTGATGTGGAATGCATCGCACGTGCAAAAACACTTCATTTAAACCTGACAGGAGAGAGTGAATGACTCGGCGTGAGAAACAGTGAAGAAGAATTCTTTCTACGTCCTTGCTAGATGCAACTGTTCCATCTGACGAGGTCAGCAGTAATTCAGATTGCGAAAACCGTACAGTGATTAAGATCGAGAAAAATTGGAAACGACATGCCGGTACTTGGCTTAGCCGGTTGCCATTGACGAAATTGGAAATTAGTGCATAGTAAGTCCGGCTGGCCAAGCCGGATATCCCATTTCACTGGTAGCTTCGTTGGACACAGTCCCAGTGAAATGCTGTGTCCCCCTGCGTGAAATTGAAAACAGAAAACCATGAAAATTCAAATCAAACAAAAGTGCACCGAAGCAACGGATAGAAGTTTTACATCTATTCAGATGGTCCACACACACACATGCACACACACCCACACACACCCACACACACCCACACACACCCACACACACCCCCCCCCCCCCCCACTCCCCCCCCACCCACACCCCCACACCCCCACACCCCCCACACAACACCCCACACCCCCCACTCCCACCACCCCACACTCCCACACACACAGCCCACATAACGCTCCCACACCCCACACCCACACCCCCCACACGCACACGCACACGCTCACTCTCTCACTCGCTCACTGCACGCACGCGCGCACCCGCTCACCACTCGCGCGCCACTCTCTCGCACCACTCTCGCCACTCGCCCGCACACACGCGCACAAGACACCTCGCGCACCAACTCGCGCACACGCGCGCACACCGCGCCGCACACACTCCGCGCGCGCACAAACGCACGCGCACACACGCGCACACATGCGCACACACGCGCACACACGCGCACACACCCGCACACACGCGCGCACACGCGCACACACGCGCGCACACGCACCCACACCCACACGCACACACCACACACCACACCCACACCCACACACACACACACACACTTTTTGCGTGGCAGGTGTGGCACTTGGGGCGCCCAAAGATGAGGGCCGCACACCATGGAGAAACGTTCTAACTCCTGCTCCTCCTCCTTCTGGTCCGCCTTCTCCGCCTTCTTATATATAGCATTGTGACGCACAACACTGTTTCTCACACGCACACAAACTGGTCACACACAACCTTGACATGCACACCCTTCCCAGCCATGACACTGTCAGGCACACACACACAACTCATTCACACACATTCTTGCACACAACATTTTCTAGACGTAACGCTGTCACACACAGCATTGTCACACACACACAACAGTGCCACACACACACACAACTCTGTCACACACACAAACGCACACAACTCTGTCACACACACACACACGCACAAGACAACACCGTCACAAATAGTTCTGGCACACACACACACAACAGTGTCACAAAAAACTTTGACACACACACACACACGCACACACACACACACGCAACTTTGTCGCGCGACGTTTTCACACGCAACTCTGTCACACACCACTGATGTGACACATGCTTACTCATGCATGCAATACAATACATTGTTTTTTTTCTCCCCTCCCCCTCTCTCTCTCTCTCTCTTCCTCCTTCCTCTTCCCTGCCTTCCCGCCCTCATTTTGCCCACCTGTTCGGTACTTGTTGGAAGAAGTTGACATGTGGGATTATCCGGTCCTTTGATAAGGACCTGGTTTGAATCGTTTATTTTATCTCTAGGAGGGGCCAGCCCCCTGACATGACACATTATGTTCATAGTTTGTTTTTCAATGGCACTTTACTAGTTCGAGTCAAAAAATTGGACATGTGCATGCCTAAAACCAGATATTATTTTTATTCGTTAAGTGCTAGGGAGAAGGGTTTGTAACCCGCACTTTGCACCTTCACGATTTGAGCCTTTCCAACATCACTGGCCTTCGAGTTAAACTCCTGAACTGGCCGGTAGCCACTCTGCACAGCACTACAAGTGTTCGCAGGATCCGATAGGGCGGAAACGAAAACCACGTGTTGCAAAGGCCAGACATGGAATTAATTTCAGTGTTGCTGTTGCAGTCCGAACTGGAAATTACTGCACGAGGCGCTGGTTTCAAACTGTAATTTTTCATCCATCATTGGTAAATTTGATTCCAATGCACGAACGCCCTTTGTCAAAATGAATTTGAAACAAATCTGCTCCACGATGCCTTTTGCGCCAAGACGGTTTATATAAATCGATAAGTTCAATAGGTGCCATGAAAATATGATCCTGTTTGTTTTAGGTCTGGATCAGAGGAGATAGGTGAGACAAATCTATCATGTTGACCAGCTTGTAAACCGAAAGGTTATGATTATGATAACAACATGATAGATTATGATTATGATTATATGATATTATATGATATCATTAGATTATAATAATGTTGACCAGGTTATATATGATATTATATGATTATGATTCCCAAATTGTTCAAGGCCTCACCGATTGAACTAGTTTTGTTCAAAGCCTAGATTCTTTACTATTTGCTATATTTGCTATCGCAAACCACCCCCTTTTTCAAGCACTGTCCACCATGTGACACACATATGCACAGCGCGACATCAACAAATCTCACAATGATGACAACGACGACATTTTCTGCTATCAAACTTACCTTCGTTTTTTTTTCTGCTACTAAACGGATTCTGCGGCTACAAATGTTCTATAGTAGGAAGCTGCCGTAGCAAAGTGGTCTTGGCAATCGCTACCCACAGTGAAATGAACTCGGTCGCTTTCTTTGCTTGTGTTTTTTTTCCCGAGTTAGATAGGTAGATACGTGTTGTAAGAATTCATTGTGTGCTTCTGACACTGTCCACAGCACAAAATTGACACCAGGCTTGTCATGGAACATGGCCAACGTTACCATAACATGACCCGAAGCTCCGAGGCAGCTCCAGCAGCAGCTCTTCAACAAGCACTTCCACCACTTCCACCACTTCCACCACCACTTCCACCACCACTTCCACCACCACTTCCACCACCACTTCCACCACCACTTCCACCAGCACCACTTCCAGTACCAGCACTTCCAGCTCCAGCACTTCCAGCACCAGCACTTCCAGGACAAGCACAACAACGATCAGCAGCACAAGCAGCTCCACTAGCAGCAGCTCCACTAGCAGCAATTCCTCCAAAAGCACTACCACTTCCACCAGCAGCACCTCCACCGCCACCACCACCACCACCACCACCACTTCCAGCACAATCACTTCCAGCACAAGCGCTTCCAGCACAATCACTTCCAGCACAAGCGCTTCCAGCACAATCACTTCCAGCACAAGCGCTTCCAGCACAATCACTTCCAGCACAAGCGCTTCCAGCACAATCACTTCCAGCACAAGCGCTTCCAGCACAATCACTTCCAGCACAATCACTTCCAGCACAAGCGCTTCCAGCACAATCACTTCCAGCACAAGCGCTTCCAGCACAATCACTTCCACCACAAGCACTTCCAGCAGAAGCATTTCCCACACAAGCACTTCCAGCACAAGCAGCACCACAAGTGCAACCGCAACAAGTTCAACGCACACAACCGTTACGACAACACGCACACAACTGCCAGAAACTGGCATCACTCAAGATCAACTGGAGTCTCTCGAGGAGCAACGAAAAGAGGAAGCTGCTGCAGCAGTGGCTGCAGCAGAAGCTGCTGAAGATGCTGCAGTGCAGGATGCCCTGAAACTGCTCAACATGTCGCCACCACCGCCTGGCCTTTTGGGCCAAGTCTCTATTGTGACTGATGCCGGCCCAGTCCAAGTTTCAGCACTCTCAATCGAATCCCTTGCAGATGCTGACGGCCCGGCAGAAATCAGTGCTGGTGCAGAAACAGGTGGGATCGGTGTGGCGGGCTGAGTACAGAATAGTACAGAATTCTTTCCTGCTGAAATGCTTAGAATTCAAATTGAACCTGGTCTCAAATCCAGTCCGCTTCGCCTGGCTTCACCTTCTGATCATTTTTCAGCTCAAGACCGCCATGGTTTTGGTTTGCTCTTTTTGTGGCCGCAGTTTGACACGGGTTTGGATAGATGATTTGCAAAAAGAATTCACAAATTGGGCAACTTGGATTCTTAAAATCAGCGTTATCAAATAGTGGAAATTCCCACGCATTGTATTCCTTTGACCCGTGACCGGCCCGTGACCCATTCCAATTTCCCATTTGGATCCTGTTTCCAGGTGCTTCCCTGGAGATGAGCTTAGGGCTTTTGGAAGAAGTTGCAGGAGCAGCAGGAGCAGGAAACGGCATGATCCTGCTCAGTGCTTTGAAAGCAAGTGGTCAAGTGGTGATCTGAGACCTCCACAACTGGGGCCGAAACCACACAAGCAATGGCCCAATGGCCATTGATGTTTTGTGGCGAACAAAATGGCGGGTCAAAAGATGTTAAAAGTACCAACCCTAAACTGGGATGATCCCTACTGAAGATGTTTTTTTGTGATCTCAGGTACCCTTCTGAGCCATATTCATGCCATATTCATGGGACCGAGTTGAAGAGCCCACGGCTTTGTTTCTGGGTTAACATGCTCCAGAATTCAGTCACTTCAGTCACCCGCAGATCGCACCAGAATGACTCATCCAATTCACTTGATCCAAGATTTCAAGGGAACCCACGTTCCCAAAACAAACATGCATGCAAGTAGTAGTACCCGGGCAAGCCGGGGGCGAAAGTTATAAACATATACAACCTATAGGCGGGCAAAAAAGCAGAACGTGCCCATAGGATGTCCAACAACCCCGAATGTGGCGCAGAAACAATCTCTTGCTCTGGGCATTTCTTTTGGTGAAATCTCCTTGTCATTTCCTCTCATCATCTCATCTGATCTGATCTCATGCCGTCTCATCTCATCTCAGCTCTTCTTATCTCATCTCATGTCTTCTCATTTTTTCTCATCTCTCCTTTCCGTTTCTCAGCAGATCTTCTCAGCTCACCTCAGGTTGCATTCCATCATCGCATTCGCTTCCGATCTTCCCCCAGAACCATCGCGACACCTGTTCGGCAAACAGTTTCATGTGAACAATCTCTTGACATCTCTTGCATTTGGTTTCTTTTCTATTTTTTTCTCTTTTCTCTTGAGATTTCCTTCTCATCTCCTCTCATCCCTTGTCAAACATCATCTCATCTCAGTCTCTTCTCAGCACTCCCCAGCTCTTCTCAGCTCTCAGCTCATCTGATCTCATCTCACCTTTTCTCAGCTCTTGCTTAGCTTTTCTCAGCTCGTCTCAGCTCTTCTCACCTCATCCCGGCTCCTTTCTGGTCCAAAGTCTACGCGAAAACCTGCTCCAAGACCGGATTTCGTTGCCAACGCCAAAACGAAGTACAATTTTGAAACATCCTTAAAGGGAAATCTCAAAGGAAAATGGAGAACGCCAAAAACGAGGAAAACCCACAAGAACCAAGCGTGGCAACCTTGACGCAGCCACTCCACTGCGATTTGCAAGCAAGTTGCAAAAGACCATAGAACTACGTGCGCAACTGCAACGAGCAAGCTTGACGGAGCCATGCCGCTGCAAAGTGGAAACCCTAGAAACGTCAGTTTCATGGTGGGGACAATTCGACCATGATCCGAACATAGCCGGGACCATCTCCCAACCGTTGCGCGGCAGACCTTTCCCATGCATCTTCCAAGGCACGTTATTTTTCTGCAAAACATACGACTTCGTGCATCTGATATCTCTCCAAGACGTATTTGCCCGAGACTTCCTTCAAAAACTGAAAGTAAAGTTGAAGTTGTGAAAACGAAGCTCTTCTCATCTCAGCTCATCTCACCTTTTCTCAGCTCTTCTCAGCTCTTCTCAACTCTTCTCAACTCTTTCCAACTCATCTCAGCACTTCTCAGCTCATTTCAGCTCTTCTCAGCTCACCCCATTTATAATTTCAGCTTCTTGAGTGTCCGTCCGTAACACGGAAGTTTCTGATCTAGTTTTCCTCTGATCATATGATTGATTTTGAATATGTCGATATAATTTTTTTAGCTTAAAACTATTTTAAAATCAATCACTATTTTGGCTCACATATGATTTTTAGCTTATTTTTTTCTCTGTCAAGGCCCAAAAACTGCCCCAGGTATAGCCGGTCTCAACGAAGACGCCACATCCAGCCTTGCAACGGACGACGTTCGCGCCGAGCCCGGGGCTAGGCGCTTGGCGTCGACGGCGTCGGTGCTGCGGTCCCGACCAATCAGCATCAATTTCCGGAGCGCGGATGGTGCCATGGCGGTGATTTTTCCCGTGATGAAATGTGGTGCCATGGTGGTGACAAAAGATGGTGATAAACACTGTTCATCTGACTGAACAACACATATATTTTTAAACTGGGGCTAAACTGGCCAAGAAAGTGGTTCACTTACCAACCATGTTTGTTTGCCGCATTTACATGGCCAAGAATCAATGGGAAAGAGAGGATCAATCATTGGGGGAAGTTTGGACTTCTCTGTCTTTTGCGTTGGACTCCGTTGGACAAAATCCACAACTAAAATGATTGATGGGGTGGTACTTTAGATTCTCTTTTTGGGGGATTGTCATACCCCTACTCATAGTGCGAATGGGCTACACAATGATTTTGGCAGGGATCAGCATCCTCAAGGTTGAGACGGGGGTTCAAGCCAACCATGGTTTCTTCCCTGTTGCAGCTCTCCCCACCTTCTCGACCTGCGGCCTTTCAGGAACAAAGATTAACGTGCAGAATTTGACCACTCCAATGAAGATGCGGCTCAAAGTTGAAACTTGACTGAGCAAATGGAACTTGGAACCTAATCCTACTGAGGAAATTGCCCTGTCAATTTGGATTGATCATGCATGCGTTTTGTGCAAATGCAGGGGGAATGTTCAGCCACAGTGGTAGAAACCCAATCCACTGACCCTTCAGACGTAGCTTCGTACCCTTACGTGTACACGTGAGCCTTCGCCTGTGCATGAGCACAGCTTCAACATTTTGCCCGTTCCAATGGTTGAAAGAGAAGTTGACTGGATGAGCACAAGAGATGAAAGAATTTCTCCTGCATGCTTTGCTTTGAGTCTGAAACGTACCGCATGGAACGAGAAAATGCTAGCGGCCTTACACCTGGTGACTTTGGTAAATTCCTGGGGAAGTGGTTTGGATCATTTTGGAACCAAGGAGGATCCAAATGCGACCTGTGCGTATTGGGACGAGTCTGCTGCTCAGTGGTCCTCTGAAGGGGTGCAGACGCTCTCCTCCGAGGTGGGGCCGCATCTCAGCTCTGGACACTTCGAAATTCTTTACGATGCGATATGATGCTCGATTTTTTGAATCTTTTATCTTCCTTTATTTTGCATTGGTGGTGCTATCATCATGAGGTCTGTTGATTCTAGAGGTGATAGATCACCATGTGCCTCCATTTCTGATTCGGACCGAGAACGTGCTCGACGTGAGGAATGTACCGACAAATATTCCCGCTTGCTTGCTGCAGTGTTTATATGAGCAATTTCTCTGACTATGCGATGCCTTAAACAAATTAGCCTGCGCAGTTGCATGGTTTCCGTCCCCAGAATGACGATCGCGATGAAGGCCCTGAACTAGCTGCGATAGTTCACCAAATATCACACATGCCACATAACATGACATGCTAATGATGATGCATTGCGCCTGGCACGTACTTTACATTGTGCCGCTCCTTGGTGCATTTTTTAAATCAAAAACAAGCAGCACGACACGTCCAAAGTATTGCGCCTGCCACGAAAGATGACGCTGGACCTCTCCCAAGCATTGCAGCCACCAAAAACATCCAAAAACAAAATCACAATCCAAAGACAGCGCATCGAATTGTTGCGCCTGTCGCGAACAAAATTCGACGCAGCGTCACATCTGAGTCTAAACAAGCCACGCCTGGGTTGGAAATGACGAGGAGTTGCAAAGTGTCCAGTTGGGTCCACCCCGAGACATCCAGAGATCAATGAGAGCTTTTTGTGACGCATGCGGGAAAAATCAGTATTGAATTGCCGGGCTTGATATCAGTTTTTTTCTGTGGTAGGAGCCTGGATTCATTCAGTGCAGCACCACCCATCTCTCGATCTTTGCTGGCGTGATGGAGGTGATTCTGTGGCTTGGATGCAGAAAAGGCTGTGGACACCATGGGCTTTTGGGGATGCGCAATTTTGACATGTATCGACGTTGACATGGCCAGTTTTGACAGAGAAATCCACCAAGATTAGTTCGTTACAGACCAGCATCAGCGTGGGGTTGCCTACCTTACGGGTTGTTGCTGTTTAGTTCCCAAGATCTATCGAAATGCTTTAGTTTGGCTTTAAAAACATGTCAAACTCTTCTCTTCCCGTTGTGCAGGCAGAACGTGCTGCTTCTCGTGGATTGCAGTACCTTCTCCACAGAGATCCAGAGACTTATATTTCCTTGCGATGTTGTTTGTAGTTGAGGAACACACGTTCCTCTCGCATTTTTCCATTCAACTTTCCAAGTGGAAACGCAGATCTTTTCGAAGGTTGCGCGCGGCGGGAGCACCCCGCTGCAGATTACAGTCCAAGGTACCTTGGGTCTTCTCATCCAACTAGAGGCTCTTGAGAAACTCATGGATGGGGAATGGTTTGGGCGACCTGCTGCATGGATGCCGGGGCTGATGGCTGTAGCCACTCGAAATGGCAACGGTCGTGTAGATTTTGAGGGTTGGGGGGGAATAGTGCAGGCCCTCACGACAGATTGATTTGCTGGAAGCTTTGAAGAGTAAATGGTAAATATAAAGTGCCCATGAAGCGTTATCCCTACAGACATCTTGTGCATAGCATGTTAGTCTGAATACATTGTACCACAACTTCTTTTTTTTGCTTCATGTTCCGGGAACCAGCCCCCCTGTTATGAGCGTAGTATTTTCCAGTCAGATGTGTCGCAGATTCTCAACGTGGCATGGATAGATGTAGCTGGTCCACTTGCTTGACCTCCCAAATGGTGTACAAATGAGGAAGCTCGGTAGCCATAGCTCCGAGGTGTTTGGAATTCTGCTGGGGGTTGCAGCATGGGTTGATGAATGCAGTATAGAAGAACTTCCGTTGGAAGAGAGGGAGGACTTGCTCTTCCGCCGCAACTTGGCTGAGTCGTTGTCTTCCATGCTGTACAGGCATGTACAGGCAGGATAGGGGAGCTACAAGAGCAAGTGTCCCAACCTTCGCCTTTGTTAAGAAACAACTGACATTTTTGAATGGCAGTCGTAAGTAAAGTGAGCGTTGGAAGTAACAGTGCTTTTGCCATGCTTCTGATCAGGGAATTTATGTTTGATTCCAAATAACATTGGCTCATATTGGCGCTCCCTCTCTATGACTTCCTCTTGTCAACAAACGATTCGGTTCACAAGGCTATGAACGAAGGTCAGACACGACCCTTTAAGCCCGGCTAAGGTGGTGTAGCTGCAGGAGGACTTATTCGTAGAGGTGCACCAGTGGGTATCCGTGTCCCTCGCGGGATCAAGTTTATGCCAGCGGACCGAAAACCGTGCTCGTAAAATCAACGGTTTTTGTTGGGGTGGGGTGGGGCGGGGTTGGCTATAAACGTCCCTTGCCTGAAGAACTTCCAAGTACGTTCTTGATGCTAGGTTACTAACCCCTCTAACAAGTCTCGGCAATGGAGGTACATCAACTTCCATGCCAACTTGTAAAAGTAGACGATATAAACTTTGAAGCGCATCTTCTAAAGGAGAAAGGTTTACTTTAACATACTTTAACCATGCACCAAAATGATCCGATGAAAATGAGCTGCTAGTGTGGTAAAACGCGAAAACGGCCAACTTTTGGAATGGAATCATTTTTTTAGTGTTTCTGAAACAAAAAGTTGCGTTTCGCCACCGTGCCAAACTCAGTGTTCTAAAAAAACACTTGTGCTTTTACGAGCACGGCTTCCGGTCCGGCGGGAAATTTATGAGGTAAGAACACTATATAGATTATATATAACTTATAACTTATAACTTATAACTTATAACTAACAAATTGCAACTCCTGCTGTGCATATACTTCTATTCATTAGCCAATACTTTAGACGCATTGCGGGGCGGCTATTATTATGGATCTTTGCAACACTCATGGCTATCGCAGCTCACAAGTCTATCGCGACCAGGTTTCCTAGCAGCACCACCTCCTTTTCAATCAAGCAACCTTGGTTGGGGATACGTACAGACAAAAAACGAATTAGGGGCATCAATGAAAATTCCTACTTTTTTGATTCCGTCATATTCCTTACTAGCTGCTCCACACATTTTCCTACATAGCGAGGATGTGACGTTGTCTTGGGATTCTTTTTGTGGCTGAGAGGCGCGGTTTGGCAGAGAACTAGTGTCGTTGCATTGCTAGGTAGGCGTTGAAGGAGCTTTGAAATGCGCCTGAAATAATTGAAACATGGGGAAACCTTGACTGTTCCAGGTTCTGTTGCACGTTTGGAACGTTGCCAGTCACAACATGTTTTTACAGAGTGCCAAACAGGGAGGTTGTTTGCATTGCAGTCATGCCCCATGCAAGAGTAGACTTATGACATCCCATCCAGGCACAGGCATATACCAAAATGCATGTAACTATCTGGGTTTGGACAGGTACACACTGTGCAACATGACTTTAGGATGTTTGGTAGGGAGGTTAGATCTTATCAAACTGCCTTTGCATTGCTCAAGGAACCCCATTCTCCTAATCTTGGGCACCCCAGTCCCTAATTTGGGGATCCCTTATTTGTAACTGGGTATTATGTTACATCATAGGGAATGGGCTACCTTCAAAGTTCTTTGGCTAGGCTGCTTGACATACATATGTGGATGCGCTGGCAATTCCATTGAAACCAGACCGGTGACAGCAGGAGAGGGACCCAGGGGTGGACTGGGGAACAACCACAGTGTGCGGAGGGGCCCCCTTGCAACATGCATTCTGCAACATGCATTTTTTGAAGGTTCAATCCCACCAGACATGATATTTTGCCTAGGAAAATGCATGTTTTTTGAATGTAGCCTTGAAAAATTGAAGAAATGGATGAGACATGCAGTAACATGCAGCAACATGCAGGGTTTGCCGGGGGGGTTTGCCGTGAGTCGGAATGAGTTTGCAAGAAGGGTAACATATGTTAAGATCATGTATGTCCATCCGCAGCCGTTTGGTAGGAGGAAATTTCATGGTATTTTCAGTGTTTTTCATTGGTTTCACATTAGAATTTGCAAGATGTTTGCATGATAAGGGATGATTGTTTGAACCAGGTTCATGTTTTGCGAACAAGATTTTTTTGCGGGATCCCGCGGAAAAATTAGCAGGATTTTTGAACTTGTGATTTGTTGGAAAGAGAAATAAAGTTGTGTGTTTTATTGGAACAGCATAATTAGATTTCCTTCGGAGCCATGTTGAGTTTCGATGAATTGTTCGAATGTTTGGTGCTATTGTTCGATGAATTGTTCGAACGTTATTACTCCCCCCCCATGTTTTTGTTTCGACCTAATACCTGCAGAGGTACATGCATGAGTATTGAGCACATTTATATGCGCCCTTCAAGGCTCAAGAGGTATATAGAGTAACCCTGTGTACAAGCACTGACCGGCAACAGGCTGAGAGTAAAACAGTGCTGTCATTGGGGAAGACGCCTTAGCTGATCTTGAAGTAGACGCTAGGGCCCCTCTTCACCCCACCCCCCCACACCCCACGGACAGCTATTCCGATGTTGGATAATGAGTTCTATGGAACGCAAGCTGCCTGAACGTTATTACTACCCCCCCCACCCCCCCACCCCCCACCCAATGGTCACGAGCTCAGAAACCTTGTTTGCTTCGGCAAACCCCTACGGTTGACCCAACATGCAGCAACATGCAGCAACATGCAGCAACATGCAGCAACATGCATTTTTAGAGGCGGCTGAAACATGCAAAACACATGCATTTGTCCTGGGAAAATTCATGTTTTGCCAGATCTGGGGCTGCCAAGAAAATGCATGTGTCTTACCAGCTCCTGACCCACAAAAAGAGTGAACCATGTATTTTTACTCAGAGGTGGCTGAAACATGCAGAAAATATGCATTTACCTTGGGAAAATGTATGTTTTGCTACCTAGGGATCCAGTCCAGAAAATGCATGCTTCCATAATTTTGGGATGAATCCACGTTCCTGTCCAATTCTTTGCGTTTTTGAAGCTAAAATCTGGCCCCAAAATGCATGTCAGAAAATGGGAAAATCCATCCCCCTTCCACCCCATCCATCCTCAAGATGTTGGTTTGTGTGGTGGGCAACAGCACTTGTGGAGCACTTAGACTTAGAGTCACTAGAGTCATTAACACTAGAGATTGTATTATAAAATGCAGCCATTCCCAGTTGTAGTACACTGTAGCTAAACAACCAAACAACCAAACAACCAAAAACGAAGTTCCCAAGTGCAAGTGTCAAAGGGGTATGCTGGTAAGTTCACATGTCTATGAAACATTGCAAATGCTGAGCAAACCAAAAAGATATCTGCAAAACCTGCAATGGAACATGCATTTTGAACTTGCAGAAAACATGCATTCTTATCCTTGTGTGGATATCTGGAGCTGTAGCCGACGGGATGTCATAAGAGTAGACCAGATGCGCTGCATTGTGAGGCAGAGCCCAAAGGGTGTTGCAAGCGATTCGTCCATGGGCATTGGAGTTATTGGCATTTGCTCGACGCAGCTTACACTGGGTTGTCCACTATTCCATTGGACTGCTGGTAGCTCACAGGAGCTTCGTGGGTCGATGGCATCGTTTGGACATGCTCGGAAGAAATACATGTGGGCTGCTTTGGTACGTTTCCCACCGAGGAGTGCGATTGACCGAGACACAGCTTATATCCTCCAAACCGCTTTGAGTAACTGGGTGCCTTGGTGGCAGTTGCTTCGGTCCGCATTGAACATTACCTCTAAAATTTAATCGCGCCCATGTATTGATACCTGTAAAATATCCACCTGTGCCAAATTTCTGCTGTTTTCTGAAACCCAAATATATAATATGCGCTGTTTCTAGGAAAATCTGGCGTTTCAGAAACATGCGCTCGCAACCAAGGCCCAGGTAGAGAAAAACCAGGCAGGGCCTTCGGTGAATAGTATTCATGGAGCACTCAAGCTTTGACCGACACCCATTTCCAGGGACAACCCAACTGTTGCAGCACAAGTAGACTTGTTTTCCAGTGTTGCAGGGACATCATGGATGACAACTAAGTACTCCCAGTGGCAAACAATGCAGATCCAAGAGCACCGATCAAGTTCCAAGAGCTATACTTGGAGGCAACTCTTAAAGTAGCAAGATCATATATAGATTTTGTCTAGGCAGCTTTCTACTTTCCTGACGGTGCCTACAATTGTTTGATGAGAAACATGTCCACGCAGAGCTTCACCAAGTGTGGTGTTCGTGAGTTGACTACTAAAAGATTCCGGCATGGGATCTGTACCATCCACAATTGCATCCCTTGCTAAATCATGTTAAATCCCTTGGGATATCCCCTCAACACCATAAAGCCAACATTCGCTTTTTGGAGCGTAAATTCCAGCAGGTACCTGCTGGGGCGGCGCCGTCAGGAGCTTATTTGCCTAGGATGCTACTCCAGCTCACAACCAAAACATCGCCATAGGAGATTTGGAAAAAACATTGCAACTTTTTGGATTGGGCGATTCTTCAAGCAAATCCTGGTGTAATTGCACCCCAGGGAAAACACCATGTATCTATAGGGCTGACATGCAGCTGTAGCGGCTCAGGCAAAAAGGTAGCTAGAGCTGCGTTGCTTAACGGAATTTATTTAGGCTTATCAATCTATCTGGGATTACCTTTGTAACCCTTGCTGAAGCCTGAAAATACAGGTTATCAGCCGTAGTCTCTAAAGCCATGGAGAGACCACCTGGTGACGTAATTATTTGGTAACGGTGGTGCCGTTGTTCCAGCTACAGGCTCTATGATGCCTGCAAGCATTGGAGCTCCAGCAACTGACGCGGCTGGAGTAAATCCCGCGCCCATGACTGTCGATGAAGGAACCTTCTACCAACCAGCCCAGGCGTATTTCCAATTTGTGCAGAACAATCTTACCTACATAAATGAGGGCAACATTGATGCATTCAGACGCGAAGCCGAGGAAAGGCACACACAAATCATGGAACAAAAGGTCCAGCAGCTGCACCAGAAATTCGAGCAGGTATGCCTTAGTGAACTTGCGCAACAGCGTGCAGAAGCTGAGAACCGACATGAACAGATGGCATCAGAACTCACTGGATTTGCGATATCTCGCACAGCAGCTGAACAAGAGGTCATGAAACTGAGGAAGGAACTTAGCGATGCAAATGCAAAGCTAAAGAATGCTGCAAATGCAGTTGCGCTGGAGGCCGAGCAAAGAGCAAATCAAAAGGTTTCACACTTAGCTAGCCAGTACGAAAACAGGTATTCCGAACTCAGGACGAACCTCAAAACTGACTGCAAAAGGATCGTAGATGAAACGGTTGACTATGCAAGACAGGGTATGGAAGAGTTCAAGAATGAGGAACAAGCAGTTATCAAGGAGATGAGAGAGGAGTGTCACAGGCAGGAAGAACAAGCCGCCGATCTCAACTGTCAGCTCCAGGAAAGGGTAGACGAACTGATGGAGAAACTCAACAAGTATAGTGCCCCCAACTTCAAGATTGAAGAGCTCGAGGAAGGTCCAGGTGATGTCCAGTTGGAGATGTTTGCAACCCCAAAGTCTGCAAGCGCGAAGGCCGGAGCAACACCCATGCCTGAAACGGCCATGAATAACTTAGCCGCCGATGCTAGGGAGAAATTGCACAACTTGTTCTCCACTACCCCAACAGGATCAGCAGCACCTCCAAAGCTCCCAACATTGTCCGTGCGAGCACCGCCAAATGACAACGTGAATCAAGAACCAACTCTGCGTAGCCCAACTATCGCAGCTAGTGAACCCGAAAAGCTCAAAGGCGCCGACATAGCCAGTGGCCTTTCCGGACAACAGCTTCTAGATCTCATCACTAGACTGACTTCAAAGGATTCAGATGGCGAAAAGCCCCGAACCAGAGCCGAGACTATTAAGCTGAATGACATGCCCGCTCCTGAGGCCTATCGCCACTGGCGTATAAGCACGTTCGGGACGAGGTCAAGTCATGTTCGGACAAGCCCGATGAGGCATGGATCTGGCTAAATGAAGTCTTTGACAACAAGACCCCTCGGGAGAAGCTGGAGGAGAAGCTGCAGGATCCGGGCAAGTTCATCACACTTGACACCAAATTGTCGGCAGCGTTAACTCGCTCAGCCAAAGGTGACTTAGCAACAAAGATTCACAACTTCAAAGATGAAAAGTCCAAGAAAGGAATCCAGGTCAGAGGTAGGAGGGTCCTTTTGATGTTTGAGGATTACTTCAGGACGTCTGAGGAAGCCGGCAGTCTCTACCGTGTCGAGGACTTACTAGGAGTCGTTAGAACGGGAGAGTCAGTGGAGGACCTTAGAAGGTTTCTTAACCGATGGGACGCCACTATCTGGAATGGAGACTCCACCCGATGATTTGGTTCTTAGGGACATTTTACTCCGACAAATCAGGAAATGCCAACTCATGAAGTATGACATTGAAGCATTTGACAGGGCTCCTGAAAAATCAGAGCAAAAGTCATATGCCTTCTTACTCAGAAACATTCGTGACTTGTTGGATAGAGAAAGACTTAGGTCGAACAGAAATCGAATAGTGGAGAAAAACAAGCAGACTGAGAAGCCTCAGCCCGCTGCACCCGCTCAGGGGGGCAAAGATCGCGGCAAAGGAGATCGTGGACGCCCACGTGGTCGCAGCCAGAGTGCCAAGGGTGACAAGATATGTTACAAGTTTAGGGACGGGAAATGTGAAAAGGAAAGGACTGTCCCTATAAGTATGTCAAGGATACCTCAAGATCTGGCACCCCCAAGAAGAAAGGGAAGGGCAAGGGCAATGGCAGGAGTAGATCCCCCTCAAAGATGTCAAGGGAAGAGATGGCGAAAACCCCATGCACTTACTTCCAACAGGGCAAGTGTCGTCGTGGTGACAAGTGTTTTTACAAACACGAAAATGCAGCTGCTCCCACAAAGGATCCAAAACGTACCAATAGGCCTGCACCAAAGAAGAAGGCCAGCGCAAAAGCTGCGCCATGCATCACAAAAAGGTATGCATGTATTGCAAAGGGGAAAGGGTTGCCAAAGGCTACAAAGGCCATGAAAGATCAGTGCTAATAGAGCTGCCGTGTTCTCATCAAAAGTGGCATACATCAAGATCCCTGCAACTGGTGAACAACGAAAAGTTGTGCATAAGCCTCGACTGTATGACAACAACTATCCCACTGCGGAGTCAGTGCCAAAGCCTGACAGGTTAGTTGCTCATCGTTCTCAGGTTGTTGCACGCCAGCTGCAAGAGATCATCAGGCTCTTCAACTGTGATCCACAGCCCAAGTGCCGTTTCCGATGCAATGACGAAGAAGGTGGAACATCGTGCAATCATTGTAGATCACTGATAGGTCCCAAGGACAAGATTAGCAATACTCATTTGCCAACAGTCGCAACACCAGCTTCGAAAGACGGTTGTGTTTGGTTGGTTGACACCGGTAGTGAGCAAGATCTCATCAGTGAGAGCATGCTGAAGTCCGCAAAGGCTTCAAACCGCCGAGTCAGTGACTTAGCAACCGCCAATGGCTCCACTCGCGTGGATGAGGTGGCCGACGTAACAGTCGATGCCCTGCACCAGCCATACATCCTGGAAGAGACCCCGGCAGTCCTGTCCGTAGGTGTCCTGTGTATGGAAAAAGGGTATAGCTTCGTGTGGCCGGCTGATGGAAAGCCGTACTTCATTCGCCCGCACCTAGGTGTCATTGAGCTGAACGTGGATGGCAGAGTCCCTGTCATCGATGCCAGTTGCAAGGTTCTCAATAGCAGGGAGTTCCGAAAGGACTGTAACTTGCTGAGGCTTTTTGCAATGGTTTCTGCTAGGGCGGCCGAGGCCGAGGAAGAAGGTGTGGATGAGGGTGTCGTCCCCGACAGTGAGACCGACTACATCCGATCTAGAAAGGCCTCAGATCTTGAAAAGGAAGCCAGTAGCAGGGAACACCAATTTGGCCATTACCCCAAAAATCCATTCTGCAAAGTTTGCCAGAAGGCGCGCATGATGGCGCCGCCCGCAAAGAAAAAGGGAGGGCAGAAAAGATTGGATACCAAAAGTTTTGGGGATCACATTGTAGCTGACCACACGGTAGTCAAAGCCAATGTTGAAGAAGGCCTCAAGGGTGAGACAGTGGCATTGGTGATGAAAGACATCCACACTCAGTTCAGACATGTCTACCCGAGTCAAACCAAGTCAGGGGAATCTTGTGTAAATGCGTTCAACCACTTTCTTTCCTACAAGGACGAAGTTGGGGCGGTTTACACAGACAATTCACGAGAGCTTATTTCCACGATTGGGGAATGGGTTATCGTCATCAAACATCAACTGAGTATGTTGACAGCTCGAAGTCTTTTGTTGAAAGATCCGACATATGCTTGAGGGCACTCGCACAAACCTTGTGCAGTCCGGTCTTCCGTTGCAGCATTGGCCACTTGCAATGCAACATTTTTCAACGGCTGTCAACGCGACTCCGCAGTTGAATGATGATGAAGCCCCATGAAGCTTAGATTTGATGAAGATTTTCCAGGTCAGTTGATTCCTTTTGATGCAAAGATACCGTTTTGGAACAACCCAAAGAGGGCTGACAATTCTTCTGGAAAAATGTCCCCTACTGCAAATGATGGTGTATTTCTTGGATATCACATTCAGCCTGGTTTTGCATGGAATAAGAAGTATCTTGTAGCCAAGCTTGAAGCTTTGGACTACCATGCTGAGAATGGCAGCATCACCGTGCAGCGCGCACGACGCATAGAGCTCATCGAGGGAGGATTCGTCTTCCCGCTCCGTGCACTGAAAGAGGCCAAAGAGCCCAAGCCAGACCGTCTTGAAGACAACGTCATTGCCGACCCTCGTCCGATTCCGTTTCAAGCCGAGTTGCAAGTAGATGGACAGGATGATCAAGGTGAAGAGGTAGTTGACAAGTCAACGGAGGCAGTACCTAACGTACTTGCCATGGCAGATGAACCAGCTGAAGAGGATTTTTTTCCTGAAATCAAGCATACTCCAACTGGAAAACCCATTCCGGATGGCTACTCAGTCCGAAGGACAGGCAAAAGCTCATCGATGAGGAAACTGAGAAAATGACAGGTGGCAGTGGAGCAGCATCATCAAGCTCTGCTCCAAAGGGTCCGAAGAAAAAGAAGAGTGCATTAGTGACTGCAAGAAAGTTTCGGGTAAACCCTAGCCCCTCAGGTGAGCCAGAAGTAGGTCAATGGGAAGTCATTCCAGCAGACAGACCAAAGTTGTGTGTTCCTGCTATGCCAAAGTCTGCACCAGCGAAAGCTGAGTTGCAGCGACCGGAATTGAGGGGAATGATCAAGCAAAAGATCCAAGAGTTTGAATTCAAAGTTGTATTAGAATTGTTTTCTGCTGTTGCACGTTTGGTCCCAAAAGATGAGGTTAGAAAGAATCCCAAAGCAAA